ATTCACTTTAATTCTTAAAATAGATTTCTATGTGTTTCATACTCCTTTATAACTTAATTCCATTAAAAATTGTATTTCAAAATATTAAATAAGAAATAGTATAATTCAAATTATAATAATTTTCATTATACCTAAATTATTCCTTAATACTTTCGGATTAATTGTCTGCACTTTCCTTATTATTACCACAGAAATAAAGTTATTTATATGTTTATTAACATTTATATATATATAAACTGATTATTTAAGGTCGTTCTATGTAAATTTTTTTGTGTATTTAATTATCCTGTTTATTTTAATATATATATTGTGTTTTTTTGTTGTTATTCATTTAACGATAAAATTATATATTTAAGGAACATTCTCATTATAATATAGGGATATTAAATTTTGCATTAATATTTTATTTGATAATACATCTATTAAATATATCATACCTTAATTCTATTGTTTCAAAGTATAATGAACAAAACTTAGCACTGTTTTCTAAGGCATATTTATCTCTTATATATATTAAAAACACTCTGTTATCTTTATTATAGAATGACATTTTATTTCTATAAAATAATATGTAAAATATTATATAATAGAATTTATAACATATTGAATTAATTTAAGATATATTAATGTATTAAAAATATATCTTAATCAATATTAATAATTTTTCATAACAATTATTATATTGCACTAAATATAAAAATAAATACACTATTTATAATGAAAAGTTTGAATAAGCATAGAGAAATTTATTATTTAATGTTGTTAATTAAGTATCAGATATTAGATATAGTAAATCATGAAATTAAAAAAAAATTATAATTTTTTTTTTTCAGAAATGATAAATTTACTCTTTTTAGTTTCAAAAATTATTCCCAAATGTCTATAAATTATATTCTCATAATTTTCCTTTAACATTTGAAAAAAAATATTGTATATATGTAAATTTTTAAGTATCAGAAAATGAATAAAAAAGAACAAATAATATTTTGTTCTATATTCTACAACGATGAAACAATTAATTAATAAATTATCATAAATTCCACAATAAATAATTATTCATTTTCGTTCTTTAGTTTAATTATTATAAAGTATACATTTCTTCATTTATAGAATTTTTTTTTTTTTTTACTGATATTTTCCTAATGATAAAGAATTTGCTATCTCTTTAAATATAGAAATGATAAACGAAATAAAAATAAATATAATATCTGAACATATATTTTTATGTATGAAATTATAAATAAATACATTATCACCTGTTAATATATGTAATTATATTAATGAAGAGAACGATATTATTGCTATAATAATCGAATAAAACTTAAAGGGTAAATCTAGGTATTTTAGTTAAGAACGTATTAGTTTTGTTATGCTTTTATAAAAAAATCTATGAAAAATATTAAACTACTCTATGAAAAATGTTAGTTATGAATATATATATAATGAATTCCATATTCTAATGTATGCCACTCTATAATTACTTTACGTAAAAGGCAATGTATAATGGAGTAATATGTATCATATTTTCATTGATAGAATTATTTTAAGAAATTTTGATCTTATACTCTTACCATATATTTTGATATTATCATATATTTCAAGATTCTAGTCTAATATTTTTTCATGCATACATATAGATGTAATTTACATTCACATGCCAAATGTTCATATAATCATTAGTAACACTATTGAATTAAATGGAAAATTACTCCTTTAGTTAATTGTACAAGTATTTATGATGTAATTTGTTTTCATATTTGATTTAATACTTTTATAAAGGCTTTTACTATAAACTGCTTTCATGTTTATGGATAATCTAAATTATGCATTAACTGAATTTTTTATATATATTTAATTATAAATATAACGAGAATGTATATTTTTCATTATAATGGGAGAGATTATTTCATGTTCTATTGAGACCCTACATTTTTATGCGAATTAATACATATACTTATAGAAGTAAGTTTTATAACACTGTTTTATCATAAGTTATAAAAAATATTTTTTATATTAATATTTTTTCAACTATATTATCTTATGTAATTATACATCCACGATATAATCTCTAGAAATTTAAAAAGATTTTATATATATATGCTATACTCACAACTATTTTATGGGAGATTATTATCAACGGTAAACTAAAAAAATTAGCTATTTCTTATGATATAGATAAAATTAAATTTTTGATCCTTTTCTAAAGGATATATCCTATACTCCAGCTATAATGTTATTTATTATATTATATCACACAGTGATGGGATATAATAGAACATTAATAGTTATAATAAACAAGAACAGATGTATCTTCCTAATATTTTACAATAATAACATACTCAACATTTAGGAATTATGCTTACATAGATAGTGGATATTTTCTCTAATAATTACATTATTTAATGTAACGTAACAAATAATATATTATGAAAGAGGAACAATTATCAATTTTTATAATAATATCTTAATTCAGAGATTGATTTTTGTAAATTTTTCAAGCAATATATTTAATATATTTTTTTAAATTTATTAAAGAATAATTTATTCCTTAATTAAAACAATTAATCTATAATTTATATGCATAATGCACGAAATTATTAGAGATTGTTTATATAATATATATGCCAAATGCATGTTTATCTTATAATGTACAATATCAAATTTGTATTCAAAGAAATAAAGCTTTATGTGTATAAAAAATAATATATATTATATTTTGAATAAGTATATTGGAATATATGGCTTCTTTTTTATTATTTAATGGAGAGGGAACTGTAAAAATATTTTATTTAAAATAAATAGATCTTATTTATAATACCGATATCATATAATCTTAATTATATTAACTAATCATTCATGTGAAAAAAAAGTTATATATCTCAAAATGTCTATAAAGTTTGATGAAAATATGATCATCAATGAAACATTGACGTAAATTCATATTTTTTTATAATGTATCAATAACATTTATTACATATACAACTATAGTTTTATTATATGTTTATATCATATGATAGAATTAAGAACAGTGATTATTAAACGCATAATACTGTACTAATGATGTATATGACAGTTACTATTGTACACTAAATCACATATATGTATAATTCTATGAACAATTTCAAAATAAAGTAGTTCTTGACACACAATATATCTATTAATAATATATTTGAAAATAAACAATAAAATAATAAGCATATGGAAGAATAAATTAATAAATAACATTGTGACAAATATAAATATTAAATATAATATTAATTACGTGGATTGTAATATTTTATTTAATTCACATAAATAAATATAATATATTAATATTATTATATAAATGTTTATGATATAATTATAAAATATAATTACAACGAATATAAAAATAAATAAAAAGAAAACATAGAATATCTTAATAAAATGCATTAATGATACACGAGTTTCCCAAAGAAATTATTAAAGTCTAAAAAGAACCCTAAAAACGGAACACTAGTCCTAAATCCTGAGCCAGTTTTGAAAGAATATTAATGCAGAAAATATATAATTTTAGTTTATATAAAATTTATAGAAAAAAAATATATATATTTCATAACAAATATCATTAATATATAACTCCCAATTAGTATAACATATAAATAAACTGAGGTGATAAAATCTAAATTTTTAGGCATAATCCTTTAATATTTTGTTAATCATTTATAACAGAGGACACTATAAATGACAAAAACATGAATAATCATTAATGTGATATTATATATGATGAATAATTAAAATTTGTTTTATGTATATTTCAAAATTTGTGAAATTATGTTATATGTATTTTAATTACATATTCACAATGTAACATTAATTTAAATTAAATTATAAGAACTTTTTTACATTTATCTTATATTTAATAATTCATATATATATTGTTTTTTATTGAAATGTAATTTAAATAATAACTTCATATCATTATTTATTAGCCATTATTATTTTTAATTTTTGAAGAAACAGACACGCAAGCATGAATAATGTACAACTAATAAATTCAATAAATTATATATTTCTAATAGAGCTTTCTATATATTTTTTGAAATATATATTATATGGTTTTACCTGCTTTTTTAAAATATATGTTTATGCTTAAATTAACAATTTCTATATTTACACATGACATATTAGTTCAAAATTAGGTCACGCATAATTAAATAGGGAAATTAATTAATTTACCACTTCTTATATTTCTTATATTATTATATGTAAAAATGCCTGAAAAACAAGTGGATGTATGGATACATTTAATTTTATACATATTATTTTATATATGTGTATTAATATATATCCTGCAATTAATGTTTTGCAATAAAAGACATATAGTATTACTGAATATCTAAATAATTATGTTTTGCTTTTTTCCATTTTAACTGTTCAGACTTTTAGTAAAACTGATTTACCTTCGGTTAAATTTTATGAAATGCTGGAAGAAGATTCTTTGCAATTACAATCTAAAAAATTTTCGTACTGTAGAGATTTTCCTCTCCAGTACGACAAAAAAGAACAAATTAAAAAGCTTTGTTCAAAATATGTAACTTATTTAAAAAATCAAAAACAAATAAGGCGTCAATATAATCAGTATAGTGAGTATTGCAATATGTTAAGTTATTGGGTATCTAATGTGCTATTAAGAACTCTTGGCGAAGACCAAAGTAAATGTACTGTTGCGTTCGGTAAAATTCAACTTATGTGGAGTTTTGCAACTAAATTTGATAGTACAAGCTATAGTTGTCAACCTTATTCTGATATTTATAATTTCTACGATAATTGGGAAAATGCAAAAAAACTGTATGATTACTACATAGATTTTAATTACCTTGATAATATGGCAAGTAATTGTGCTCATAACTGCGAAGAATTACGCAGATACCTCAACGAAGTAAATATTACATATGAGAGTTTTAAAGAATCTTGTTCTCGTAATATAAAAAGTGTATGCCCCGTAATTAATATTAATTATGAAGTTTACAATCCAATGTTATTATTAAATAAGTATAAAAGTCATACAGAGCCTCAGGTATTAGATATGGGTGGAGCACAAGCATCTGAAGTAGAAACAGAAGTACCCCCTAAACTAGAAGAGCCTTCTGATGCCCCATCAATTACAATTGGTTATCAGCAAGAATCTAATATAAAAAAGGACGAATTGAATCCTCTAAGTGCATTTAGTAATACTCTTTTAGGATTAGTTCTA